TTTTGACTTTCTTAACTTAAGTGTCACGCTATAGTGAGATAATGATGAGATCGTGAGAGAATGACAAACCCCTATTTTGCGAACATTAAGTTGAGCATATGACGAGGGATGGATTGCTAGTTTATAACCACGAGACAACTTCTACATATAGATTAGATATGACTAACAAGCTAATAAATTGAAAAATTCAAATGTCACTATCAAACTATTATGTCACCATTAGTTTTTATGTTGTTGCTAGCTAATTTATTACTATCATCCGTTCTTTAATTCTTGCAACAATTTGACTTTCATGTTTGTCAACACACAATTTTGACTGTAATTATATTTAATTACGTATTAGTAAACATTATAAAAATTTGATATTTTGGAAATTCACATTGATAGGAATTTAATAACATCTTATACGTAATAATTTGATTATGTATATTAGTAGAAAATTGTGGTCAAAGTAAGGTCTGTGAATAGTGCAAAAAACACAATGTTGCAAGAATTAAAGAACGGAGGAAGTATGTATTTCTGTCAATGTCAATTATTTGTTGGTGTCATTGCCGTTGCCGTGATACTCCAAAACATTTCCCAGTGGTTAAAAAATGACAGAAGAGAAGTAGCTTCCACTTTTTCTTGTGATTTTTCTTGTGATTATATTCTCGGTGGCAATTCCCATCGAAGTCGCCGGCAATGGTTGTCGGAAGCGGCGGTGGGGCAGTGAGAGGGATGACTGTTGGGTATGGATCAGATTAGAGGAATAATTTAAATTAACTAAATATAATTTAAACACATTTTTTGAGAAAAACTAATCATATTTTATCCTTTAAAAATGAGGATTTTCCTAGAATATTACTAATAAAAATTTATGGACGAAAATGTGACTACAAATTACTGTGTATGTTTTAGTCACTATTATATAAGAGTTGAATACCATTATAGTCACTAAAGTTACTAGGGCCATTTTTGTCCACTACTTTTAATTTGGTTATATATTTGAAATTATTTCTTAATAATCTAGCAATAATATTCATGTCATTTATCCCGAAAATGTCACACTTTAGATTCACACAATGCGATAATAATAATAACTCAGTTCTTATAATATAGGTGCTCTAAGTAGATAAATGATGTCTTTAGTTGGACCGGTACGTATCAGTCTCAAACCAAATCGGATCAGACTTAATAGATCAAACATGGCTTGACTTATGATGTTTTTACTTGGACTAGTTTCAAGATGTGTTTAATTAAATTGAAATGCTCTAACCTTGTCTAGTATGTTTAAGTCTAGTCTGAATTGGTCGGGTCTGATAGATGTCTGGTTTATGTATGTTTCACTACTGTTGAAGTCTGGTTTGATTTATTTAAGTCTGATTTGGTTTGAGACTAAAATAAGTCTAAGTAAAAGCATCATCAATCCAAGACCAGACTTAAACAAAGTAGACCAGACCAGATTTCGACAGTTGTAAAACACACCTAAACTAGAAATCTACAAGACCCGACTAGCTTTAAACATGCCAGACCAGACCATACTAAATCAAATCAGAAAATTTCAGTCTAATTAAAAATGTCCTTATACAGACAAGTCACATAAAATCAGGGTAAATACACATTCTTTTGAAAAACTAATTTATGTGTTGATAAAGGGTGTTTTAATAACTTTTGTCTTGTTTATAAATATTGTATCTTATCAGGCTGAAAAAACAATTAAAGTTTTGAATTATATAATAATTCTTGTTTTAAACTTTCAATCTTTGATACTTGTTATAAGCTAGGAGATCACGTATTTTCCATTTTTCAGATTAATAATTTTGACTGTAATGTTGTATTGTTTTTGTACAATATATATTATTATTAATAATGTTACATGTGTATATGGTATATCCGAGAATATGGTCTTTAAAATGTTAGATAAAATGTTAATACGGTAATATTGAAAATATTAGTTACTTATCATGTTTATCAAACACGAGAACTTAAAATGTTAGATTACGTAATAGCTAACAAAATTAATCAAATAAAATAAGTATAACTAATATTTATCATTGTTATAAGTTACGTAGTATAACTAAGTAGTTAATAGTCATTTTTTCATTTTTAATCAAAACTCGGCCCCCTAACTAGTACCCAATTTTCTCATGTCTACCATATTCTCCTTTAAGTACGTCTTTTAGAGGCCGTTTGGCAACACTATTTTTTGGCTTATCAGCCAACGTTTTCACCAAACACGTAACTTTTGCTTTCGCGCGCTGAATTGTGTAATAAGCAAAAAAAGTAAGGTTGGAGTTACTTTTCTGGCTGTATTGGCTGAAGTTACTGTAGATGACCATTTTAGCTATTTTTACATATAACTTTTTCTTTATTTTATTAATAAAATATATTTTAAAAATAATTTTTTCTTAAATCAGCAGAATCAGCCAATGCAGCCACTTCAGCCAGAACTTTATAAATTTCAGCAGAATCAGCCAAATCAGCCGATTTTCGTGCTACCAAACGGGCTCTTATTTTTGCTTCTCACTGTGAGCGTGTCAACAAATTCTCACAAAAGGCATCTCGATCTCTTCTAGGGGCAGAGGAGCTTGGCCGGTGATGCAATCATGACGGTACGGCGACGCGCCAGCGGCAGTGCGGCGGCCGGGCGACATGGCGACATAGCTGCTGCGGCGGAAGGCCTAGGTTGTACCGTTGTACGGCAACTCGGCAGAGATGGGATGGCGACACGGCAGCGTCAGCTGGCCAGAGACCCTTCTTCTCCTTTGAGTTCTTCTTTAACTTGGTTGTCCTCCTCCTCCTCCCTTCTTGGTGGTTCCACGGTCGCACATCAACTACTCTGATCTTTAGTTTCTTCTTGTTCGTTCTTTTCGTCCGTTGTTTTCCGGATCTGCTCTGATTTCAACCATAATCTCCTCTGATTTCAGATCTGTGTTGTATTAACAATAACAAAACAAATTGCAGATATAGATTTGAGGAAAATACTATTAGGAACCTGCAGTTGGAGCTTGCATTAAAGTTTTAACTTCTGGTACTAGAAATGTTGCTCCATCCCAGTTCATCTCTGTAGCATCGTTTATACTACGTATTAATTTATGGTAGAACATGAATTGCTGAAATTCCCAAGTTCTTTTTATTTTGAAGATGAAATTTTAGAGGATGTTTTTGTAATTCTTTGAACCTTTTGGCTGTGACTGTATAGAAAGATACTGAATGATTGCGTTTTTTATTGCTCTATTCAGTTTAGATTACCTTTTTAAAGAATGACAATGTGTTGATACATGACATTGTCATAGACTCATAGTTTAAACAATGACAATGTGGGAATGTCAGCACAATAGACAATGTCATATTTATAAATTGTGTAAACATTATTATATTGTTAACACAATGATATTAAATTTCAAAAGAACGATATCCTCATATAATGACATTGTATACTACATTTTTTAATAATGACATTGTAATCGCTTAGAACAATGCTTTTCCATAGAGATGTCATTTTTTATGTCTTTGACATTGTCAGAACATTATCATTGACAACGACATTGTCTATATAATGACATTGTAATCGCTTTGAACAATGCGCGTTCTAAGAATTAGAACAGATACCAATTTCTACAATTACATAATTTATTTGTAATGACCGTGAATCCACATTATATTTTTATGTGTCCACTATTAAATTGTAATTATTAACAAGCAACCCTTGAGAATTAGGTAATTAAATACAGATACCAATTTCTACAATTACATAATTTTTTTTTGGCAAAAACAAGAATAAATAACGATCCATTGTGATAATATTCACAAATACTAGGTGTACAACTACTACAAAGTCATAACTATAATTAATAAATATGAAGTAAGTAAATATGAAAAAGTTGTACAATTATTACTACTAATGGAATAATAAAAACAGATAATATTAAACTTATTTTTTCTAATAATAATAATAATAATAATAATAATAATAATAATAATAATAATAATAATAATAATAATAATAATAATAATAAACTCCAACCTTTGAACAAGAAACCTTGTTTGTTTGGTTGGTGTGAAAGTGTGGGAGGAGGATAGGAGATGTTGGCTGGTGTGAAAGTGTGGAGGAGGCAGCTGTTAGGAGCATTATTTATGCAAAAAATTTATCAGGCTGAAATCCGATGGGCCAATAAAAAGCTTCAGAAATCCTTATCTTCTGCATTCGGAGTTGTCAGTTCCGAAATGATAAAGCGCCTGATATTTTCTAACGCCAACGGCTTTCAGAGTTGTCAGCTCCGAAAATGTTCAAAGTTGCTGATGACCACTTCAAATTCGGAGTACTCAACTCCGTTATACTACCTTCGTTCCCATTTTAACTTCCAAATGGGTTTGGCACAAAGTTTAAGATAGTGTATATTGTGTGGTGGAGAGTTGTGCAGAGGAGAGAGAAATGTGTAAGAAATATTGTGAACCACAAATTCTTTACCAAAAAGGGAAAGTAGAAGTTTTAATTGGAACGGACGAAAAAGGAAAGTTGGAAGTTTATTTAGGAACGGAGGGAGTACTCTTTTTCGTCAAAAAAAAAAAATACATCAACGCGATTCGGAAACACCTGCTCAATTTCTACTCTGTTCAGTCATTTACTCTATTTTTATACTACCTCTGTTCCCATTTTAACTTCCAAATAGATTTGGCACAAAATTTAAGATAGTGGATATTGTGTGGTGGAGAGTTGTGCAGATGAGAGAAAAATGTGTAAGAAATGTTGTGAACCACAAATTCTTTAACAAAAAGGAAAAATGGAAATTTTAATTAGAACGGACGAAAAAGGAAAATTGAAAGTTTATTTAGGAACGGAGAGAGTATCTATGTTTTGGTTTGTTAAATGGACGGCCACACATGATTAAGGGCTGTTTTCTTTGTACAACGCGCCTGGACCGATCGACACGTGTACCGGTAAAAACGACGTGGACTAATAGGGTGACGGAAACAGATCGTATCTCCACCGGCACTCTCGTCCACTAATTTGATGCCCACCCAACCCTGAGAAGAACGCTCAGCCGCCTCAATTTTGATACGTACGACACATGGCACCAATCGACGCCACAAATTAAAATACACTCTGTTGAAAAAAACAATTTCCTAGGAAATAGCGGCCAGCTTCTTGCTTCTCTACCCCTGTGTTCGCTCTCCGTACAATTCCAGAAGAACATCCTAGATTTGCATTTCCGAGCGCCGAATTAGGGTATATTTGGTGGCGGGAATTGTTGGGTACCTGTAAAGTTGGTGGTTTCCCGGCGAGTTTTCGGTTATCAGTTTTCTCTGGTGAGTTTCCAGCAAGATCTTGGACAGTACTAAGGTTTATCTGAACATAACAGTTTTCTTTTGAATCAAAAGTAACTATTGTGGTTGAATTTTATCTCTTTATCATGAATTCATGTTGGAAGATTTGAAGTGTTTTTTTAGTAAGCTGGGAGATGCTTTGATTCGGCTGTTCTGTAAATTCTATTTAAAAGAAGAAACCAGATTATATTATAATTGGATTGGTATTTGTTTTGGATTAATAGATCGGTTAGTTGGAGTTTCTGAACTAGGTCTAATACTTCTTTGACTTTTTCTTTACCCTGTCGGCTGATTTGGGGGATGTAGGATAACGGATGAAAGGGGAGGACTTGGGTTCTTAATGTGATATCAAACCAGAGTTCTGCATACAATTTGACTGCTTGTTGAAGGAATTGAAAGATGTCAGATTTGTGCTGCTATGAGGTAGGGACTTTCTGTTTTATACAAATTGAAATAGAAATTGCTCCCATTTTTCTTTAGAGAATCACAAACCAATTACTGCACCGTTGTATCATTTGCAGGAGCGTATTGGTTCCGAAATCCAATGCATTGTTCTTCCAAACATTTTTCTGAATTTCCAGTGTGTTTAGATATGTGTTTGCTCCCTTGTTTATATGTAAACATGCACACTATCCTGTTCGTGCATACTACTCTCAGTATATAGGTTTCTCTCAGTCTTTAAGCCATGACTTCTGGAGTTATGACAGCTAAATTTCTGTTACGTTTCTTGCAGATTGAAGATACAGCGTGGGATGAATTTTGCCGAAGTGGTGACCATATAGTACCACCAAATCCTTGTGGTCCATCAGCTGATGAGCATCAACTCCAAGGTGCTAATCATAAGAAACCACGGCATGAGATATCCTTGACAGGATATGCTAAGAAGCCAAAGGAAGAAGACGAGAGTAACTGTGGGATGAAGCTGTTGGCAGAAGGGTCTTGGTGTGACACACCAAGTCATGTATTTCCTACTTCACACCAGAGCGACACAGTCAACAGAGTTTCAAACTTATCATCTGAAAGCAACACCATGGAGTCAATTGGAAGCGATTTTTGTGAAACTGGTCATATTCTTGATGACCAAAAGGCAGGGGTTGATGGGAACTCTAATAGCTATCAGTTTTTCTTAGATGATGATAATGAGGAGAAAAACTGTAGCAATATTTTAGAGTACGGATGGCCTGAAATGGGAAACTTTGAAGACGTTGACAGAATGTTTAGGTAACCTTCTTTTTTAAGTGAAAAATTGGTTCCATTGTATTCAAATGCATCAGATGTAGTATAACTTAATCATATTATCTTGCAGAAATTGCGATTCCACATTTGGACAAGCGACCAGTGATGGTGATATATCAGGATGGCTTTCATCTTTGAATGATATTGAAGGCTCTAAAGAAGCATCAAGGCCAGATCTTAAATTCTCATGCCTCTCCCCCAATTCACTAGAAAATATTCTAGGGAGTAGCCAATCTGGCAATAGTTATAGGGAGGATCTTTGGGATTTTGAGAAAGGGGAATCAGACACTGTGAATCATCTGTCATTTGTGGAAGGTTCTCATAGTTCTGATTGCAAAGATGGATCAATACCTGAAAGGAAGGCAAGTTATTTGTTCTTCTTTTCTTACTCTCTACTTGCATTTTGGGGTCCAAGTAACACATACTCACAATACATTGTAATTGTTAAGAAATAAAAATTGGCTTGTAATAGGCTATATCTTCTTATTTTCTTATTTCGGACATGCATATTTGGCGTCTAAGACTCATAAGTAACTCAATATTTTACTTCTTAAGAAATTACAATAAACGTTGCTTGTGCTATATTTACTGCATTGTGTGACTTTTAGATTCAGAATCTAATGAGTATATTTTCTTGTGGCAATTTTATGCAATTATGCAATTTTGTTATTTCAATTTTTTCTTTATTCATTTGGTGTAAAACTTTGATGTTAATTTAGTGGTTTTAAGTTCTGTAATAATTTGTGTAGTTATGCTTTGCAGACTAATTCACATAAACAGCAGTCAAAGAACAACAACCGCTCCGAGGGGAAGAGGACATGCATATTCATGGAAAATGGAGCTTCATTTCCATTTAGTGGTAGCTTGCATGATGCAAAACGATCAACCCCAACTGACTCTCCTCAATCAACTATCACATCAATATGCACTCAACAGGAAAACCAGTTTCCCTCCGATTCTTTTGCATACTTGCAAAACTGCTTCCCTTACATGCACTCAGAGTACAATCATGATATCACGTCTGAAAGCAATGCTCTAGTGTCTGTTTCCCCTAAGGGTTCACATGTGCCAAATCAGTTTTCGCCCATAAAGATGCATCTCCCTACTGGGTTCAGTTCTGAAAATCACATTGACCTGGATGGAGCAAACATAAAAGCTCCTATGGGTTCTTCAATGTTACTGGCAAGCTCATCCTTCAGTTCAGGGTTGGATGAAGTTTCAGAAGAAGCAACTTGTTTTCACCAGCTTCGGCATGCCATTGACCAGGTGTTTATTTTTAATTATTATTAATAACAGAAAAACACTGCTACAGACCTTATGATATACACATATCTCTTGTAAGAAACTGATCTATTTTAGTTTTCTGTTGATTAGATTGATCTGGAGACGAAGCTATGCATAAGGGACAGTTTATACCGATTAGCTCAAAGTGCTGAACAGAGACACAGAGATGCAAACTTCAATGGAGATAATAGAGATGCTAGTGGAACAGACAGGTATGCAATGTTTCTCCTTACTGCGCAATTGAACTTATCACCATATGTTGAAGTATTTGTCCCACATCGCATAAGTTTAAAATAACAAATCAATATTTAAGATCATCCTGAAAATTGAACCTTATAGGAAAGAGTACCCTAGGACGTTGGTTTATTATTTTATATTTAACAGATGCAGGATGAATACTTTAACACCATGAATCATATATCCTTATGAGTTATGACCATTACCATTAGTATTTTATATTTAACTGAGGTGAATTTTTGTGTATTTACTTCAGTCAATCGTAGTTCCTTATGGATTTGACATTCAACCTTTTGTATTTAGCATAACATTACACATAATTCTTATTTACTAACAGCAGTAAGTTACTCAACAGTTTTTCTGATATTCCCCACTGTGCACCACTTTAGAACAAGGAGATCTATTATTGTTGGAGCTCACAGTAGGGTCAACGTTTTATGATAGCTATTGAATGTGAAGTGGTTTTAACTTTTAAACTTTTAATTCACTATGAAATGCTCAGAGAGTAATTATTAGTACATTAAAATGAGGAATTAATTTATCCATACTCTGTAATAAAATCAGTAGAACCCCCAATTAAAATATTTAATCAATGGAGTACAGAGAATGAACTTTCAATCAATTAAGTCGACACCCATTATTTTGAATCGAGATATATTTGATTGACATTGCTTTTATGAAACTCAATGTATGCATGAACAGCCCATACATCTTTTTTTCTTTTTTACTATACCCCATCATGCCTGAAAAAAGAAATGTGTGTCTTACATTTTTCACTTTGGTGGTTGTATATTGCACATGAGCACTTACATGTGTAATGAATTAGAATTACTCCCCGTCTAGAAAAAAGAAGTCTAGTTTCATTATTATTATTACTCCTAATATTTTTGTCCTAAAAGGCGAGTGGTTTTAGAAGTCAACTATAATATTTTATGATTCACTGAAAATATTTATTTCTTTGCAGGTGTGTTGGACATGTGGGTATGGAAACTGATACAAACCCAATAGATCGATCCATTGCACAGTTACTATTTCATGAGCCCTCAGACTCGTCATCGCCTGTGGTAAGGTTTGACAGTCATAAAAATGGTGATGATAATAACAACTGCAATAATAATAATAATTATAGTAATAATAATAATAACAATAACAACAACAATAATAATAAATTCCACACTTGTGCGACTTTTGATAATAATAAATTGCAAACATCTCTTACAATCTCACCTAATCTTCTAAGGTGTCGATGTACAGATTCAGGGATTCATCACTAGCACCTGTAATTGCTAAGAAATTACTTCGTCATAGAGATGCAATTGTTGAAAAAGAGATGAAGGCTTGCTACACATTACAGGTACGTATAAGTAGGAAAAAACTTTAAATGATATAAACCTTTTCTATATTTGACTCCTTTGGATGGGATGGTCATGAGTAGAATTTTGACTCTGGGTAGCTTGAGCTCCACGAGTAAACACCCTTCTAGAATAAATTATATTGGATGTGTTCATTCTTTGGTCTGCAACTTCTATGGATTAAATCTCTGTCGTCTGTTCATCCCCAACAGTGATGGTGTCTTTGTTTTACTCCGATGCCACCCTCATCTCGGTTTTCCATCCATTGCGGGAAGCCTGCTCCCAGTGGCACATCCTGGGATGTGTTTTGCCACTCCTTCATGCAGCTTGATCTTCGGTTTTGTTTGCTAATTTCGGTCTTACTTGCTAATTTCATAGATGAAGGTCAGTTGATCTCTAGCAGGGGTTATTACTTCCTTTGAGTTATTGCTCAGAATTTAAGGGGTTCCTGAACAATATGTACACCACACCACTGATGAATCCTACAGCGATTCTAGTGAGCCTTTGTTGTCGTTGTTCGCCACCCTTGAAGAGATTGATGTCAAAAAAGCTGTCACCACTCGGCAGGGGTCTTTTTGGTTTAGATGACCATGCAGATTCTATGGCCTCGTTGCCAGTCACTCTTGAAGATCTTGTGTTGAATATCTTTTTAACAATAAGTGCCAATATTTTTGGCGTTTATGTAGTATAATATCCTTTTGATGTTATTCCCCAATTAATCTATCTTTGCTTTGGCTATTAAGGCTATCGATAATTGAATAAACTATATCAATAAATGTAATTATCTTTGACTTAAATTCTATTCTCTGGTTTTAGATTTGATGATTCGTGCCAGGGGTGGACCCGATTTGGGAATCGCATTGGAACCGGGTAAATTCATGCCACCACCTGTAAACTTGGTTTGGAATTGGGACTGGGATCCGAATATCCGATAAATACCCGGTATAGTCCATGTTCCATCAAATATTGGAAATCAGTGTGTCTGAGGTCCCTTCTAATATGTGCTAATAAAAACATCCATCACATTTCTTCTTCACTATTAGTTCCCATGATCTGTTTAATTGAGAAATGCGACTCGAAGATGCTCTCATATCCATGGTAGTAGTAATAGGAAGACAGGAAGTACTCCATAGTATATATCTGAGCAAGGGAGGATGTAAGTGGGGCTATACTAGGCCCCGGCTCATCCCAATCTTAAAAAATTCTTCAACCATTAGTGTAAAAAACAGTGTAAAAATCTATCCCAAAAAATCTTCATACTGGCCCGGCCCGGTATTTGAGGATGACATTGCGAGCACGGCAGTAGCACCCAAGAAGCACAATATTAAGGACGAATACTGTGAAGACTGAATGGTGTTTGGTTCGGTCCTATTTTACCCGAATTGCGCAGATGTAGGGGTATATGGCACACATGGGGATTATTATGAACTGATAGTCTAGTTTTGGGCCTTTGGCTATAACTTCTCGAGTGGGAATTACTTCGTATATGAGTAAGAATATACGGAGTATGAATTATCGGGTTTAGTGTGCCTTATTATTACTAGTGGTATATTGTGCAAGTGTGCAACAAACAACTCAGTTCTCTGGTATTGTTTTTCACATGAGAGTTTCACGTCTAGTAAAACAATTTCATTTTATATATTTTGTTCTCCCATGGAAGTCAAACAATTAACAAAGCTAATGCTTCGAGGACTTACTAATCAATCTTATTCAAGAAAATGTATACCAAGCAATCCCACGGCCCAATCCACTTCCGTGCACCTTCGAAGATTCTATGGCGCACAATCAGATGAATGATTCCACACAAAACGAAGAGAGGAGCAGTAGCACTAGGACGGTTGAAGGCGTACGAGGGTGTTCCGACACCTTATGATAGGGTGAAGCGAATGGTTATACCTGATGCCCTTAAGGTTTTGAGGCTCCAGGCTAGGCACAAGTACTGCTTGCTGGGTAAGCTGTCATCTGAGGTTGGCTGGAACCACTATGACATGATCAAGGTTCTAGAGGATAAGAGATAGGAGAGGTCACAAGCGGCATATGAGAGGAAGAAGCAATTGAACGGAGCTTAGGATCAAAGCTCAGAAGGCTGCTGAGGAGAAACTTGGTCTCCAACTTGACATCCTTTCAGCTGTCAAGTACTGAACTGTGTTTTTGGTTCATGCTTAAAGATTTTGTCAGGAATCCTTTCAGTTTTCAGCTGATAATGGTATCAAAGGCTGATCTTTTTTACCTTTATTGTGGCATTTAAACTTTTTTACTCCAGAGTAATAAAAAAAATCTTATTCAAACAATATTGCTAAATCTTGACTGAGAAAGAGGACAAAAACACTCCGCTTTCTGGCATTGCTTTAGTTATCATTATCATTACTACTAAAACGGATAAAGAAAGATATTATTACAAAAAAAAAACACATTCATGGGTCGCAACCTTGAATGCAGGCTGTTTACCTTTATTTAATACTTTTGCATGAACAGTCTGGAAAAGAAAGATCAACAAACTAAAAAATAAGGTACATGCTACATATAGTAATATATAAGCTTGATTTGCTTAATAAACCATTATAAATGCTATGATAGATTATAAATGCCCTTACAGATTAAGCTGGATACCAGATTTCCAACTGGAAGTGGAATATGGCTGATCGATTAATTTGCTTCTTTTTGGAAGAGGGGGGCTTACATTGATATCACAGAATAAGCATTCAGAAAGGGGTTAAAACGATATAAGAATCACATGCAACTATCAGCCCTCGAACCAGACTTAGAGTTAATCACCTTCGGAGAAGCAATATAACTCGTTGTCCTATAATGGGCTTACATGAGCGGATGAGCCAAAGACAGATGCAGCAGACCTTCTATCCCCAATCCTAATGCAAGAGTCTTACAACCATAAATAAAAACAACATAAAAGTAAACAGTTTGATTAAAGAAAATAACAACAAAAATAGCAATAAAGTAAATATCCTTCTCCGACTTCATGTGCACCGCCACCGCCCAAGCACAAGGCTTGTCACGCAACATCAGACTTGCTGGCGGCTCTAATGGTCTAGACCCGCCTCCTTTTCGTTTTTTGGCCTATCAAGCGCCATACTCTCTCCAGTTGGATCCTCATGTTCTTTCTCCTCCCAAATCCTTCTGCGCTTTTGCTCTCGCGGTGTCTCCTCCGAGCTCACAGAATTTCCTTCCTTAGTGGAGCTAGTTCCAGTTCTAGTAGTAGCCTCTTTCCAGCCTTGACCTCTTGTTCCCTGGCTATCACTTTTCTGCGGTATTCCTATACCTGTACTTGAGGATCCTTCAACTAGCCACTTATTGCCTCCTGTAGGACTAGTCTTCTCCCCTCCCCAGCTCTAAGATGAACACCATAAGATTTATCTAACGGAGTGTTGTCTCCCTCATACACCACTGGGCAATATTTATCAGAATGACCAATAATCCCACAAATAAAGCAAAAATTTGGGAGTTTCTCATATTTAAAATCCACACAATGGCCAATTTCCCCCTTTTTCAAAGTTGTACCTTTTTTGAGGGGTTTCCTTATATCCATACAAACCCTAATCCGCATATAAGAAGCCCATTTTTCGTCAAATTGGCTTTCATAAAAACTAATAAATTTTCCAATATAGTTACCAATTCTCATAGTTGATCCTAGATTCATAAAACCATAAGCAACATTATGAACCTGTACCCAAAATTCCACCTCATTCAGACTAATCTTTAGCGGGATATCCTCAGGCCTATTCTCTTTAAGGATCAACAAATTCCTTTGAAACAACCACGGACCTTCATCTAACACACGCCTCATATCCAAACTGTGATAAAAAGTAAAGATATACTCCCTCCGTCCCTGTTTTTTCTCCCATTTCGACTGGGCACACTAATTAAGATAGTGAGTTTTGTGTGGTGGAGAGTTGTGCAGAGGAAAGATAAATGTGTAAGAATGTGTAAGAATGATTGTGAACCACAAATTCTTTGCCAAAACGGGAAGGAGGAGATAATTTTGGGACGGACGAAAAAGGAAAGTTTGAAGATAATTCAGGGACGGAGGGAGTACCTCTTTTTACCAATTTCCTTAATTGACACACCTTTAACCGGTCTCCACAGAGATGCCATAAGCTCCTTGAAGATCTGGAATTTGATCTTTCGATCTGTGAATATCATGCCCACCACCGGAAACGACACCTTCCCCTCGCCTACCCCCGCTTCCTCTCCTTCGTTGTCATCGAAGATCAATTCCTCGTTGTCCTCGCCTAGTGCCATCTGTTTATATTGGTTAACAATATCTTCCATCAAAGAAACAACCCCGTAGACGCCGTTGAACTCGAAATGCAGACCTCCAGCCGCTGACCTCCGCTAGCCACTAGCACCCTCGATTGAGCAACCGTCTCGCTTCAACAGTAGAGTCACAACCCTCAAGCCGCCAACAACTCTTGCAGAAACTTCCCCTCTCGCTCACCTGACTATCGCCTCACGGCGCCGCTCCTCGGAATGCCCGATAGCGGAGAAAAGCCCTAGCGGCGAAGGCTCGCCCTAGAGAGAGAAAAAGATATTAGCAAGTTTTTTTGTTATTACCTAGCTGACCGATTAATTTGCTTGAAAACCCGTTTTGGTTACTCTGAAATAGGCACGCAACCAGGCATTTTTTTATCTGACTATGGTTTTTTAATTTATATGTTTCCTGAAAAACTTGTTATGTCATTTCAACTTAGGGGTGGGCCAGGACCCGGGACAGGCCCGGGCGGTACTAATTTTTTGGGCCTAAGGCCCGGGATTCCACCGGGACCGGTCCGGAGCGGTCTACCCATCCAGGTCTCGGGTCGGGTCGGGTCGGGTCGGGCATTTTTTTTTTTGTTTTTTTGAAATCTTGTTTAAAAATTAATTCAAGAAGTGCTAGATATAAAAAAGTTATATCAACTACAATTGAGAATTGAGAAAAATTTAAAACATTATATACATTTCCAACTAGTTTAATTAACTAAAATTCCAACTACTTTAATAATTCCATCTAACAAGTGTAGTAAAATTAACTAAAATTACAACTAGTTTAATAGTTTAATAAACTAAAATTCCAACTAGTTTTATATTTTAATCTAACAAGTGTAGTAATACTAATGAAAAATGTACTCCGTAACTAATAGGAAAAATGTATGAGTGTGTACTAATTAATGGGAGTGTGTGTGTGTGTAAGTAATAGGATAAATTTACATAATATTAATTAAAGTGTAACTAATATATAATATATTGTTTATAGTATATAATATATAAGTATACTACTATAAGATGAGTAGTACACTTATATTGAATACTTTAATTTATATATACTTAATATATTATTTAGAAGTAATATATGTAAATATAATTAAATAACAAGTATATGATAAGTAGATATTAAGATTAAGTAGATATTAAGTATATATTAAGTAGATAATAAATATGAGTAGATATAATATACTCTCTCCGTCCCACAATGAACTTCATAGTTTGACCTACATACATATTAAGGAAATAAATTTAACATGGGGTAAATTTTACTGTTTTGACACTGTTTTGCACTGTTTTGCATTGTTTGACACTGTTTTGATGTAGATTAACTTGTCATTTAAGAAAATGGATACTTGTTTCTAGGACATCCAAAAAAGGAAAGTGAGAAGTTCATTACGGGACGGAGGGAGTATGTATTTATAAGTGGATAATAAATCTATAAGTAGATATAATAATTGTATAACTAATATATAATATAATGTTTAAAGTATATATTATATAAGTATACTACTATAAGATGAGTAATACATTTATATATACTCCCTCCGTCTCTAAAAGAACTTCCAACTTTCCCTTTTCGTCCGTCCCAAAAAGAACTTCACTTTCTCTTTTTGGTAAAGAATTTGTGGTTCACAACAATTCTTACACATTCTTACAAATTTATTTTTCCTCTGCACAACTCTCCACCACACAATTCTCACTTTCTTAATCCGTGTGCCATTTGTACTACGGAAGAACATTTAGGGACGGAGGGAGTAATACTTTAATATATATACTTAATATATTAATTAGATGTAATATGTAAATATAAGTAAATAAAAAGTATATAAAAAGTACTCCCTCCGTCCCTATATAAAAGTATCCATTCGTTTTCCACACATTTTAAGAAAGTGGGTTTAGTTGGTACTGTTTGGACACTATTTGACACTATTTTGCACTGTTTTGCACTGTTTTGTTTGCCAAAAAAGGAAAGGGAACTTTTATTTAGGGACGGCCCGAAAAGGAAACAAATGCTTTTATTTAGGGATGGAGGGAGTATATATTAAGCAGATAGTAAATATAAGTAATATAATACAGAGTATATGTATTTATAAGTAGATAATAAATATATAACTGGATATAATAATTGTATAACTAATTTAAATAGATATGATATATATTAATAGGTGTAGAGAGAATCGGAGAAGATGAAGATAATTAGAGAGTAGGAAGAATTGGAGAATAGATGTAGAAAAATGTTTACAAAATAAGAGTATACTCCCTCCGTCCCGCAATGAACTTCCCACTTTCCTTTTTTGGATGTCCCAGAAACAAGTTCCCATTTCCTTAAATGGCAAGTTAATCTATATCAAAATAGTATCAAACAGTGCAAAACAGTGTCGAAACAGTGCCAAACAGTGTTGAAACAGTGTCAAAACAGTAAAATTTACTCCATGGTAAGTTTATTTCCTTAATATGTGTGTATGTCAAACTGTGAAGTTCATTGTGGGACGGAGGGAGTATATAGATTTTTGTACCTCACCCCCAAACCCCCCACCAACGGCTATAGAGCCGTTTGACACTTTAAAAACGGCTAGAAGCCTATAAGCAGCCATTTTTTTATAATTAATTAAAATAAAAAATAGCCATCACCGGCCCGGACCGGTCCCCAATTCCCTGTCCCGTAGCCCCCACCCCCCCCACCCCCAGTTCAGGCCCCATGGACTGGTACCAGTCCCGACCGGCGGTCCGGTTCAGTACTAAACAGTACCGGGCCAGGCCGGTCCATCCCTATTTCAACTCCCTCCCAGAATTGGACTCAGAAACACGAGTAATAGGAAATGGAGAATGACATAAACAGCTTGGCGGTTTTGATTGAAGTTCTACTCCATTGTCTATCCCGTTACATTTGACATGAGGTGACACATCACTTCTGGTAGTTTGAACTACACAAATAGGATAGTATTACCAAATGAATGAATTGTTATGTAACGGAATCGATTCCCAGTAGTCCAGTACAAACGTATAAAAAAGTTCCGCTAACGGCGCTAAGCTTACACATTTCATTACATTGCTTACAACTTTCCAGGCATTACTTTAGACCTCCTTACACCCATTTAAGTGCCTAAAAAAAACTTAAAACCCATGCAAAACTGCATAAAATCACAAATCCTAGCTCCAAAGTAATTTGATTTCTGACTGAGATACCATCATTCAAAGTTCAAACAAGCAGTGGTAGAGGGCTACCTATCTGAAGTAGGAAGTTGAATAAGAGAAATCTCAAGATCCAAACAAGGACTGTGCAATACAATAGAAAAACTATGATGCAAACTTTTGAAATGGATCAATTGAAATTTTCTAAACAATACATAGCTACAAACAATATATAGCACTTGGGGTGGGGGGGGGGGGGGGGTACAACAAAGATGATACTATGATAAGTGCCAAGACTACAAGAGGTAAAACATAGGAATTCATCTCATGTAACAAAGATTCTAAAACCTTGACATTGAAAATGATACATATATGACATTCATCTTTGTCACCTCATTGCTATTGCAGAATATACAGTTCTCAGGTCAACGCTGCATGTGAATCTGATCTTCATTGATACAACCCATGTCTCAAATATACAGAGTAATATGTTACAAAGTATATCTGTAACGGCCCTTCAATTCGGATATACATGATAACAAAAAGCAGTGTCCTTTCAATAATGTTGATTAATCCACTTTAGTCCAGAAAATTACTCCAAAATACATTCTCTATTCTTAAAACAAAATCCATATGTATTGAGATTTAAGCTTTCATAAAATCAAAAAGAATGTCAATCATTATTACAAGAAAACAAGTCCAATCAAGCTTACTACAAAAAAAAGCATCCTATCATGTACAATTTATTTGGGGATATATATACTTCGTGTTAAAATTGTCAATTTAACTTGATACAGGACAATTATTTGAAATAATCAATATTAGCTATACGTTAAAATTTATTTGTGTTTTTAATAATCTATCATGTGCAACTTGTCCATGACAGCTTTTTTGGGATATATATACTTCGTGTAACATATGTATGTATGCATGTATATATAATCCTATCAGTCTTTTATTGAAACAAGACTCTTTTTTGAGACAAGAATAAGTTTTAAAACCTGATTCCTTTTTGGGGACTCAAGGAGTAACACATAAGAGAGCAAGAACAAGAAATGAAGGAACAACAAAATGAGGTAAGCATCATTTGCCTGGCTTCGCAAATCATAACAATGGAGGCGGATAACTCCACCATGGCAAACAATTAAATGGATGTGTTTCTCAGAAAATTTAGGCAGGCTTTAAAATGGCCAAATCAATAAACACAACATGCAGTAACAATGCAAACTCATGGGCACTTCTCATAAACAATGCACCAAAAATATATAAGTACATGAACAATTTACTTTTACAAGTCTTTAAAGATTCTAATATACAAGGCTACAACACAAACAAACGTCTAATCCCAAATTCAAATAAAAAAAAGAAAGCAAATGAGACGCTTACATAACTGGCTTGGCAATTCATTTTGAAACCAAAAGAATCTCTGGCTTCTTTGCTTTGCTAGGCGTGTTAGCATTTGATGTAGAAGTGGAAGCATTAACCACCCGGGTGGCATCTCGAGCTCTCTTGTCCAGCTGAACCAGACTTTTGGTTGCCAAAATTGCCCGGGGAACTAAGTCATGTTGGGCCCTTGCATACAAACGCTTCACTGCAAGTGATGCCCCATTCTTCACATCTTCTTCCCCATTCAAAGGACCCAACAAACAATGCCCTACAATTCTCAGCACAGGCTGCAATAGCTCCCATGGCAACGGAATCCTCACTCCCACTGACTTCTGTTCAATCTCCAAGTAGCTGAGTTCTTCTGAGAACCCCTCGAGAACCCTAGAATCATCTGAAAACAGATTTTCTAATCTAGGGCGGTGATTCTCATCCAACTCCGACACACAAGGACAGTCCTGGCCAGCCCAATCGGCTGCAAATTTACAAAAGTCAACCTTTGACCAACTTGGCATTTGTGAGATCTGTTTGTAGTAACAGTCCAGCGCAGCACCAACGATTGAGGCCCGCTTGGTTGACTTCACAGCGATCTGTGGCTCGAGAGGAGGCGAGAGAACTGCAACGGACGGCTGGATCGATGCCGATCTACTTTGAATAGGGTTTCGCGGTGTATGATACAGGGACGGCTGAGACAGATCAGGTAATGAGATCAGTATCGGCTTCCCGGCTCGGGCTTTGGTTTCGGCAGAATACAGAGCGAGAAGGACAGCTTCGAAACCGGAGAGAGACGGCGTGGTGGAGGTGGGTGTAGATGAGTGGATACGGGAAAGATAAAGGGAGCACAAAAGCGGAATGAAGGAGAGGACGACAAGGCGGAGATCGGAATCTCCGCTAAGAAAAGTGTCGTACAACCAGTGACACAACGGATCGTCGCCGGAGCCGGAGCCGGAAGATGGAATGGAGAGAGAAGTAGAGAGCAAAGAGTAAGCAGGGTAGGAGAGAAGGAGCGAGCGAGCTGGCTGATCGGAATCAGTGAGAGATGCGACGGCAGTGGAATCCGAGGGGAGAATATTAGAGAGAAGGAGTATGCGAGAACGGGCTTTGGACATTGACTCCCACCAAGAGTGCATTGGGTCGGTGCCATTGTTGTCGGCTCCTCCATTCTGGAGTCGGCGGTGGTGAGACGTGGAAGAGTTGTGAGGGTCCGTCGACGATGTGGACGAAGATGAAGGAGAGGCACCGGAGATGCGGAAATCCATAGGGAAGGCGGTGGGAAATGGGGAAGATCCTCCGCGGTGGCGTAATTAACCACTGCAGCAGGCTTGCGACGACCTTTCCGCACTTTATTTACTATCCTTTTCTGTCTACGGCTTTCCTAGTATTGACGGAGTATACGGTCGCTCGCAAGTGGCAACCCAAATTGTTCAGAGCTCTCACTCCGCCTTCAGCCTTCTTGATAGGGAAGGTATTTTCGAACTAAGAACGGTAAAATTGATTGTATTCCAAGACAAAGACCCAAACCCGGTTCTTAAAGCTATATCAATCTAGTGTGATTTTTTGGGGTAGAAAATTTTTCCCTATCATTTAAAGGGTTCACAACTTATTATCCTTAGACAATTATCTTAAGCTCTTAACATTGAGATAGACGAACGGTCTCGATGCTAGTAGTTGAAGTGTGTTGTAGGTGTGTTCTTATTATCATTTAATAAGATACGATCCATTTGTTACGGAATATCTGATCCATCTTTGCTTGTTTACATTCTAATACACCAAAACATCCACTCGAAATCCAAAAAAACATGTTAGACCTTTGGATTGAAGGAATAAGCCTCAACACTGGCAAATTGAACATCAACCACATATGAGTTTATGTGGTTAATATTTAATTGATAAATTAAGAGTAAAGTAAAATGATTTAGAATCACACAAATTTTATCAAGTTTGGAATGAAACAATCTTAATATGACAGACCACAAAAGAAAGATAAAACAAATTTAGCGGGATAGAGGACTAGAGAAGAGTATATAAACTTATATCGAAACTCATAAAATACTACATAACTTATCTTCAATGGAATAAAAGTACACTAAATTACAACACAACCCATAAAGTACTTCCAAAAATGCTATGTGTACACGTCGCGTTACACGTCAGCGTACACAACACAAAAAGCCTCCACCCCTTACCGTATTAATCCCTCCCCCCCTCCTTCCTTTCTTTTCCTTTTTTCCTCTCCCTCCTTACGCACAAATTCCTTCTCCCTCTTTTCCTCTTTTCTTTTTTTCTTTTCTCTCCCTCCCTGCACCCAACTTCTTTCTCCCTCTTTTCTTTTTTCTTTTCTCCCCCTCCCTGTGCCTATTTTCCTCTTTCCTTCTCCCTCGTAAATAACTCCTCTCTTTATCTCCCTTTCTCCTTCTTTTTTCTTTTCTTTTCTTGTTTTCTTCATTTCAAAAGCTCTCACATTTTTGCAGATCTAAATCCGCACAGAAAAACAAGAGGAGTCACAATTGAATCTAATTTGTTCTCTCAAATATTATTCATGAGGTAATACTTTATTTCATATTTTTTGTGCATTTAGGGTTATATTTTCCCCCCTTTTTTAATTTTATTTATACAAAATATGTTGTGGTGATGTTGATGAATGTTTATTACAATGTAATATCAGTTACAATATCAGTATGGATTTGTTATAATTTAAAATTTCATTCAACTGTTATAGCTCACTTTTATGCCTATTAAGTGTTTGTTAATGTTTCAATGAGATGTAACTATGTATAATTGATTTTTAGTTTTAATTCAGCTTATGGTTTTACTGAGATGTCTGTATAGTTTGTTGTTATACAGTTGTACGTAGCAGAGTTGTCTTTATGGTTTTCCAGAGATGTCTGTGTAGTGTGTTCTTATATGTTTGTGCATTTTTTAGTTGTCTATATAGTTTTCCTGAGATGTCTGTGTAGTTTGTTTTTATACGTTTGTGGATTTTATAGTTGTCTTTATGGTTTTCCTGAGATGTCTGTGTAGTGTGTTGTTATATGTTTGTGCATTTTTAGTTGTCTGTGCGTTTTCCCTGAGATGTCTGTGTAGTGTGTTGTTATACGTTTGTGCTTTTTTGCAAATATGTTGTAAAATGTATGCAAATGAATGGAATTGGGTCTGTTCTTGTGCACGTTCTTTAGGCTTATATAACTTTAAATATAGCTTTATTATGTTTTTAGGCGCCACATTCAAGCCTAAATGGATGCACATTCAGGTTTAATAGTTGTAATGATTTTTATTTTCTTGACAGGAACTATTTATGCTCTTTGCATGGAGGGGATAATGAACCTTCGAAACAAGTGTTTGATAAACCGAATGGTGGCAGAAAAAGGATTAAGGAAGTCAACAATGAGAGATTTAGAATACATGATAACTAAATATTTTATTCTTGTAACTAGCTATATTGTAAAGTTAATGTTCTTGTGTTTAGAATGATAGTGTAATTGAAGTTGCTAATGTCTATAATGTATGTTTTATGTTATGAAAATGAACTTGGATGTTTTGTGTTGGACACATACAATTGCCTATGTGTTTTCTTTTTTGTCTGTGTGTAATTGAAATATCATCTGTCATTGTTTATATTGTCTGTGCACGATTCAAACATTGTATATTCGTTTGTTTTGTCTGTACATAGATAATAATTGTTGTATGTGTATTCATATATTTTGTCTGTGTGCGATTAAAACATTGTGTGTTCATGTATTTTGTCTGTTAGATGAAGAGTATAGATGAAGTTGTAAACAAGGAGAAGAAAATAATACTTGAGTTCAAACAATGAATATACTACGTATAGCATAATTTAAACTGCAAATAAAAAAAAATGTAATTCCTATTTAACATAAACACACATTAACGGAAAAGAAGAAGGAAAAAACATCTTAGTTATGAAAAAAACCATTGAAACATTTCAAGAAACATGTAGTCACTAGAATATGCTAATGTTCTAAGTACAATTGTCGGTGAACCAAACTGAAGTGTTCGATTACAGACAATATCCACCGGAAGGAGCTAATGTTCTAAGTGAAAATGCTTATGAATATGATATTACATGTCTGGTCACAAACAATAGTTACTAACATAAATCACTCCAAATACAATATCATTCTAAATGTAAAAATATTAACTTTACTCCAAATACAATATCATTCCAAATGTAAAAACATTAACTTTACAATATAAGTAATTACAAGCATAAATCCTTTATTATCCTTTGCTTTGAAGCTCTCATGCAAACACATGTTTCGAAGGTTCATTATCCCCGCCATGCAAAGAGCATAAATAGTTCCTGTCAAGAAAATAAAAATCATTACAACTATTAAACCTGAATGTGCATCCATTTAGGCTTAAATGTGCCGCCTAAAAACATAATAAAGCTATATTTAAAGTTATATAAGCCTAAAGAACGTGCACAAGAACAAACCCAATTCTATTCATTTGCATACATTTTACAACATATTTGCAAAAAAGTTCAGAAATATTGTCTGTGTAGACATTCAAAAAAGCACAAACGTATAACAACACACTTATTAGGGTTGTAAACGAATCAAACACTACAAAGACATCTCAGGGAAAACGCACATACAACTAAAAATGCACAAACATATAACTACACACTACACTGACATCTCAGGAAAACCATAAAGATAACTATAAAATCCACAAACGTATAAAAACAAACTACACAGACATCTCAGGAAAACTATATAGACAACTAAAAAATGCACAAACATATAAGAACACACTACACAGACATCTCTGGAAAACCATAAAGACAACTCTGCGACGTACAACTGTATAACAACAAACTACATAGACATCTCAGTAAAACCATAAGCTGAATTAAAACTAAAAATCAATTATACATAGTTACATCTCATTGAAACATTTCAACAAACACTTAATAGGCATAAAAGTGAGCTATAACAGTTGAATAAAATTTTAAATTATAACAAATCCATACTGATATTACAACTGATATTACATTGTAATAAACATTTATCAACATCACCACAACATATTTTGTATAAATAAAATTAAAAAGGGGGGGAAAATATAACCCTAAATGCACAAAAAATATGAAATAAAGTATTACCTCATGAATAATATTTGAGAGAGCAAAGTAGATTCAATTGTGACTCCTCCTATTTTTCTGAGTTTTTTTTCGAATTAATGTTAATTAATTAATTAATTACGAAAATAGGGTTGGGTTAAAAGTATTTACCAATATACTGCTGGGTTAACCGTGGTCGGGGGAAAGTCGCCCAACGGTTGGGCGACTTATAAGTCGCCAAACCGTTTGGCGACTTATAAGTCGTCCAACCGATGGGCGACTTTCCATTAAGTAAAAACAGCGCCCAGCCACAAAACAGAACACTGCGAACGAAACCCAATCCCCAAATCCCCCAAGCAGCAGCTACGAAGGACGAAGTACGAAGGGCGACCGAGCCATTTCCAACTCCGGCGAACTTCCATATCCGGCGACCCCACTCCGGCAAACCTCCATCTTCATCTTCAACACTCTTTCTTCTTTCTTGTAGGTAAATCAAACTCCATTTCATCTCATTTTTAACTTAGGGTTTTGAATGTTAAAATTTTGGAATTTTTAGATTATGAAATGTTGAAATTTGATTTGAAATTGATTGTAAATTTTAAAGTGTATTTTGACATTTGGGCATTTGGATGGATTTGAATGTAGCTAAATTTGGGTATTGAAATGTAGACTTGAATGTAGATATCAAAATTTGGGTATTTTCATATTGAAATGTGAGTTGTTTGTGAATCTTGACTTTTGGATATATTTGAATTGTTATTAGAATATGGATTTCTCAAGCTTCCCAATCGTGTGTCATTGGGGAGGGAACTATTATGAGGATGCTGGTCAAATATGCCATGAAGGTGGTACAACCACATTTGTTATGGTTTGTTGTGGTGCTTGCATGCTCGAGATCCTTCAAAAAATAAATACAGCCACAATGATTCATCCTATCCGTTCTTTGTGTTTGAAAATGAAATTTCCCATGAATGGGGGAAAGTACATGCTTATGCCCCTCATTGATGAGCTAGCTATAACAAATATGTGGGCCATAGTTCAGATGGAGGACATGTCAATGCTTGAGATATACATTGAGGAATCCGTATGTGACGCTTATCGTACTCCATCAACATCAAATGATGTTGTATCTAGGCATTATGTCAATGCAGGTGTGAATGTTGGGAACCCCTCAAATGCTCCTGTAATGGACGTGGTTATACAGGAAGATGGTAGGTATTTGCACAACAGTGCATCATTTGTGGATGGGCAGAGAAGTGATGATGATGCTGACGACAACATCAATGGTGAAGATATGACAGAATCTGATGAAGATGATGGTGATACAGTCACGGCAACTGCCCCGTCTACCCACTTTACTAGAATGTATGATCTCCCTGAAGGCTTTACTGATGCGTGGCTGAGTGGATCAGGTGAGAAAAGGTTTACCCCCGAAGGTGAGTTTGAGGTCGGTCAACAGTTTGACAACAAAGAACAAGTCATCAATATGGTGAGCTTGTATTCTATCAAACGGAACCAATTTTTTCGGGTGATAGAGTCCGATAAACACAAATGGGTGGCACAATGCAAAAGGAAGAAAGAATGTAATTGCCCCTGGAGAATACGCGCCACAAAGAACAAAGGCAACCTTGATTATATTGTGCATACATTCTTTCTTCCTTTTGCATTGTGCCACCCATTTGTGTTAATCGGACTCTATCACCGGAGTCCGATAAACACATACTGTGTTCTAGTTCACCGGAACTCTCATTTGTGTGCTCAAATGTTAGTTCGTTAGCCACCGTATCCTGGGAAATGGTCGTTGCAACGCTCCTAGCACCATGGGAGGCGACGAATACGTTTTAAGCATATCGTGCGTAGCACGAGCTCTGGCTAAAATCTTCTCCATCTTATTTAATTATTTTTATTAATTAATATTTCTTCGTTTTTCCGAAACACACCCAACATATATTACACTATGTCCCAAATATAAGGGACATTTGCTTTTAGCACAATTTTTAATGAAAGCAAGATCATTTTACCAAGCTCTCAATCAAGTGTAACCAATCTTTTCAATCATTTAAAAGAAAAAAAATAGAAAGGTGAATTGGAAAATGTACAAAGTTAGTAGTTGTTGATGTGATCTTGCCCTTGTCATGTGTGGTTGATGTGTTGTATAGACCTTGATTTTGATAATTTTTATGATTGAAATCTGCTCTTGCCCCTGTACGCTTTCTGTTTTTGGTTGAATCCGAAGTGCTCTCAAATATGGCATCAGAACAATTTACTCTTCAATTAATTGAACTAAGTGCTTAAGATAGGCTATAAGAAATTAAGTAGCAATTCCTCTAGTTCCTCTGGGTTTATTAACGTTTCTTAGAAATTAAGTGTTAAGTGCTATATAATTACCGTTTCTTATTGGTCAGATTGCTTGTGAGACGGTGGTGACAATCTGATTTGACAGTCCAACTGGATAATACTATTCCTAGTCCAAATGAGCAGCCTTTCTTGATACTATACTATTTCTCTTTTATCTTTGTGATTATCTATGGGCCACAAATTGTAATTCGTGCGCTTGGTGTTTGTATCAGAACATAAATAAGTCTCTAAGTATCGGTTTAAGCTTTTAGTTGAGGCAGACCACTTCCTATAATATATGTTATGTACTTTTAATAAAAAATATATACCGTTACATTATAGAACTAATTTTTGGTAATTAACGTTTTTATTCTTATGTTTTAAAAGTTGTTTGGCAGAAGTGATAAATATACACAAGGTTGCATATGTCTAACTTAAATTAATAGGTGGTTTGATGGTGTTAACAATGTATTGCATCGATCTTTGGAAAACTTAAATTAATAGGTTGCATACACAAGGTTGCATATGTCTAACTTAAATTAATAGGTGGTTTGAGCTACTTGTCCCATTCATTTAGTTGATTCTCATGGAAGTGTTTTAAGAATCTTATTTCAGTCTTTGCCATTTTCTTATCTAAAACTTGCTTATATTTAATCTTAAGTGTCTTTTACGAGTCTTTTTGCAGAGATTATAAGAGAGCCACTTTCAGCAGAACTTTGAAGAACCATTCAATTCTATTTAGTCTTAAGTGTCTTTTTGCTAGACTTTGCCTTTCTGAGTATATATATATATTTTGTATTTAGTTGCAGAGTATGTATTTTTGATATTTTGTGTATACCTTATGGAAAACAAAGTAATAATGCACTCGTGGGTTATTTAAATAACCTACGGTGCGTCTATTTTTTATATTAAAATAGGCACTTACAACGTCGGTTATACGGGACAACTGACGTAATATGTATTTTTTGAAATTATACTCAACGTCGATTTTGTTAAATAACCGACGTAACATGTATTTATTTTATTTTTTCGAAAATATATGTAACGTTGGTTTTTTATAAAACCAAAGTGGAAGGTAACTTTTTACGTCGGTTTTATAACCGACGTTATATGTTCCTTCTCTAGTAGTGAATTGACTTTTTAATTTAGTTCCGTTTGATATACAAGTTGTTGTAACTAATGAATGTGAAAATCTAAAGA